TAGTACCATTCCGGATGGTAGTACCGCACCTGGCCAGCGGTAGTATTGCTTTGCGGTACTTCCGGTACCGACTACCGCCACACTACCACCTATCTTTGGTTCTGTAGTCCCTCGATGCTTCAATGGTAGTAGAGCAGTAGTAGAGTGCGGTAGTACCACTTTGTGAGGTACTTCCGTCCTACCCTCCATGTACTACCGCTGGTTCTTTGTGTCCTGAGACACTAAGCGGTAGTACTGCTTGTGAGGACGATAGTATCACTCCGACGGCACTATTGCACCTGAACTTGCATTCTCTCAGTACTACACCTAGAACTACCGCCCCAAGCGGTAGTACCGCTCACTTGAGTGATAGTACCGCTTGTGTGCGGGCTGAAGGCATAACGGTTGGATTTTTCCCTTCCTATAAAAGGTGGTCTTCTTCCCCAATGGTTCCTCTCTCTCGAGCTCGTGTTCTTCTCCCATTGTTGACCTTCTTCGAGCTTGCTATATCTCAATCCCTCCAATGATTCTTGCTAGTTCTTGAGGGAAAAGAGAGAGGAGATCTAGATCCACATTTCCACCAATCACTTTCTCCACTTTGTGAGAGGAACCCCTTGGATCATGATATTGAAGTTCTTGGTGTTCTCCTTCTTGTTCTTCCTCTCATATTCCTCCATAGCTTTTTTTGCTTTGGCGGGATTTGAGTGTAAGGGACTTGGGCACTCCGTGTGCCCTTGCCATTGCATTTGGTGCGTCGGTTTGAGTTCTCCACGCTGATACATGGAAGTGAAGTTGAGTAGCTTGTTACTCTTGGGTGCTTGGTACCCTAGAGCTTGTTCCTCTTGGGTGCCTTGGCGCCCTAAACGGTTGGTGGTATCGCGGGGCTCAATCATTGTGGTGGAAAGCTCCAAGACAAGCGTCGGGGTCTCTAATTAAGTTGTGGAGATTGCCCCGAGCAATTTGTATGGGTTTCGGTGACCGCCCCAAGGGTTGCCAAAGTGTACCAATTCGATGACCGCCCCCAAAGGTTGCCATTTGTACGGGTTCGGTGACCGCCCTCAAGGGTCCCTTAGTGGAATCACGACATCTTGGATTATGCTAGGGCATGAGGAGATTACGGTGGCCATAGTGACTTCTTGGAGAGCATTGCGCCTCCACACCGCTCCAAACGAAGATTAGCATCCGCAAGGATATGAACTTTGGGATACATCTTCGTCTTCACGTGCCTCGGTTATCTCTTAGCCGAGCCCTTTACTTGTGCACTTTACTTTGTGATAGTCATAGTGTTTCGTGTTATATATCTTGTTATCACAGAGTTGTTTATCTTGCTTAGCATAAGTTATTGGTGCACATAGGTGAGCCTAATTGTTTTAGGTTTTGTGCTTGACAAATTAAACGAGAGTTTTATTCCTTATTTGTTCAAGCCTAAACCATAATTATTTTAAAGCGCATATTCACCCATTTCTAGGCGACATCCACGATCTTTCACTTTCCTTAAAGAATTAGGGGTACCTGCTGGGCCTCCCAGCGGTGATGCACGAGGGGCAGCCTTGTGGTGCTCCTCGCCGCCGCCATACGTCAAGCGTCAGGCGTACCCCGTGCAAACATGTTTTTTCACCCATATTTTGGGTTTTTCAAGGACTTTTTAGGTTTTAAATTATTTTTCTTGGATTTTTAGGTTTTCTGAAAGTAATCCTCACGTGAAGCACACATTATGAAAAACACAATTGTGTTTTTTACGATAAAACACAATTGTGCTTTCGTGTGAAGCGCAACTGCATTCAAAGGACAACACAACGAAATAGATGAGAATTAAGTTCAACATTCAACGTTCCCCTATAACTTGTTGGTCCTAATTATCAGCACAAGAATTAAGTTCGAAGGAAAATAGTGACACAGGGGGATTTGATAAACCGCGTGCAACACTATTTTTGCTTCTAATTTCATTCTCTGTATTGAAAACTTAGACCTGTAGGTTATGTTATAGTGAGTTGTAGAGGAAACGCCTACAAGTGGGTTTAGGGATATTTTGGTCTTCACCCCGGTGAATGGCATTTAACCGAATGATAACGGTGTCGACTGGCATTTTAGCGCACATGCTTAATGAAAAGATGTCAATTTTGAGTAGTTGAGATTTTCAGTGGCAAAATTGACTAGTGTGACACAACCAATGACAAAACTGATAAAACCCCTTAATTTCTCCGTCTCTACAACTTAAAAAGAGCGTAAGGTTCCACGTTCTATTTTTTTTCTCGTCACCTCTTCGTCAAGCTCCCCCGTATATGATAATCAATCACCTTAATTTACTTACTTGATGAATCAATTTCACTTTAATTTACTTTCCAAACTTCTTACCAAAGTATAACAATCACACGCAAGATTGGATAAATATTTATTTATACAATCGCATTTATATCCCGTTGCAACGCACGGGCATTGTCCTAGTAAAATACTCCCTCCGTTCCAGAATATAAGGTGTATTAGTTTCCGTGCAAGTACAAAGTTGTTGAGGTACTATTCACCCAAAGCTTTCACTATTCACATTTGAATTTGTCTTTTATGAATTGCTAAATGTACATCGAGTTTTGAGCTGATTTTTTTTCTCGGAGTTGTAGACATACTCCACATGGATGTTGTCAAATAGTTTCAGATTTTTTCAAAATGTCTAAA